ATCAAATAAAGATTTGAGCCTTGTCCAGCTCCAATCTTTATTTCATTTTGAAAATCTCCTGATTTCAGCTTCACTACAGTCGCTGTCTGGCTTAATTCAACATTTATGATGCAGCACAAATCCCCTTCTTCTAATCTGAGAGCCATTTTAAAATGCTTCAGTTTACTAGCAGTCGTGCTAGGAATCACACTCGGTGAATTTGAAGGATGATAAATGTATCAGTAATTTTTCAAGGGTCACAAGCAGGACGTTTGAATTTCTGATGTCTCTGAAAGGAGGTGTGAGACCAAACCGACGGGGAAATGAAATGATTCACGGAGGAGCTGCCGAGGCTGCAAACAATTCCACACATCATCCAAACAAACCCAACAACACAGACCTCTTATATTTGTTACTATCCTCATAGAACTTCATACCTTTTCAAATTCATTTCAAGAAATGCATACCTGTAGATATTATATATATTGCACAACATTTATATGTACATTTGAAATAAATATAATTAAATAAAATGTGTCTCTTCATTTTTTTTTTTTTTTGCAATTTTTTTTTACGTAGCTCTATCTTGTTCGTATTTTCCCCCGCCCAGTGTTGAAAGAATAAATGCGGCACCAGAATACAAAAACATAATAAAAAAAAACGCCAAATGAAAAGGCTCGGATGAATAATGAAAACAAAACACTTGCTCAAACCTGCGATATCCATGTTTAGATAGCAGCTGAGACAACAAATGAAACAGTTTGATTCTGTGTGCATCCAGAATCATAAAAGAAACATAACACATCAGGATGGAGCAGATTTCAGCTGGATCATCCCTCCCACACTCACTCCACTGTGACTTTCTCGGTCACCAAATCCGAGGCTGACATCTATTCAAGACATCTGACTGACATGAAACAAAGTACTGTAAACATCGGAAGGATTTAAATGGCACTCTGAGGACGGATGCCGTCAAATCCTTCTTGTAAAACCACACTGAGGAACAGGGAGACAACGGAAGATGGCTTGAAGACCTTCAAGAACCTGGTTTGTAAAGAGTCTGAAACACTGGTTTGATTAAACTTGCTTTGGCATCAGACCAACTCCCACACTGATCAAAGAAACACTTTCTAGCTCTTTTATTAGGAGGAACCAGACACAAACACACCTCTAGCACTGATCCACTAGCATCTCCAAGTGTTTCAGACACTTTTCAACCTGGTTCTTGCGCCCCTAGGCAAATGATCCTTGCTAGGTTACAGAAAGAAGCAGGAAAATGAGCAAAGAGGGTGATGGGAGGATTTGACCCGAGGCTCGAGGCTCGAGGCTCGAGGCTCGAGGCCCGAGGCTGAAGGACGACAAGGAGGAGGAGGGAGGAAAAGGGGTTTGGGGGGAGTAGTCAGCTTTAACATGCACAGTCCTGGTGAGGAGGAGCGGGCTGCTCTGTCAGCTGGGGCCCCTGTTTGGCCCCTGTGACGGCGGGATCTCCAGCGTCCAGGCTCTCGGACATCTTTTCACAGATGATGTCGACCAGGCGCTCAAAGGTCTGCTTCACGTTGATGTTGTCCTTGGCGCTTGCCTCAAAGAACTCAAAACCTGGAGAGGAAACAGGATGTGGAAGAGGGTAAGAGGTTTACTGAGGATGTGGTCATTTGTGTAACTCCATAAAATGGTAAAATGTAAACGTAGCAGCTTGTTCTCTTGGTCAGTGCACAGTGAAATATCCTGATAGCTTATAAGATAGATGTTTTGATCCCCTGACTTTTCATCCAGCTACACAAACAGACCAAACTTCCTGCCTGTCAGTTCAGTTCAGGTCAGTTTACCTAACAATGAGTCACAGATAGAAAGTGTGTATTTGTGTTTGTGTGCACCACAAACTCACCGAGGTGCTCAGACAGCTGCCGGCCTCTATCTCCGCCCACCACTCGCTCGTCCTCCATGTCACACTTGTTCCCAACCAGCAGCACCTGGGCATTGTCCCACGAGTACGTCTTAATCTGAGTCGACCTGGGAACCAACACAGCCAGCAGTCAGAGACGGTGAACACACTGCATGCAGGCTGAACGTGACCCAAAGTACCAGTTGTTCCTCTCACGTGTTTTCTAATCAACGTGTACAGTAAAAAAGCTACATCCAGTCTTCAAACCAAGTTCTGGATCACAGCGACTGAACAGAGCTACAAGATTAGAAATTGACAGCAAGGAAATGTTATTGCATTATTATTTTGGCACAATTTGGTACAGTGTTAGAAGAAAACTTGATGTTTCAGTCACAGCTGAAAAAATCAGACTGTATACGAAATGTTTTGTTACAAGAATGAAAATCTGTTTCTCGGGTATGTCCTCAGAAATTCCAAAGCACAAGAATATTTGTTGAAATATTGCATACTTAACCCTCGGGCTGTGACTAACAATTACTTTCTTGATCAGGTTATTATTTGTTTGGTCTATAAAATGTCAGAAAATACTAAAAAAAATGTCAATCAGGGTTTCCTTAAGCCCAAAATGGCGTCCTCAAATGTCTTGTTTTGTCCTCAACCCAAAGATATTCACTTTACTGTCATATAGGAGCAAAGAAACTAGAAAATATTTACATTTAGGGAGCTGGAATCTTAGCATTTTGACTTTTTTTTTTTTTTTTAGAAAATTATATAATAGTTGACAACTAACTAATGAATCAATAAATCCTTGCACCTGTAACCCCATCCGTAACTCCTTCGACCTCTCTGTACATTGATTGGCCAGGAGTCCAGCTCAGCCACATCTCAACAGTAAACATGATCAAGACAAGCTTTTCCTCTGACCCTTATACACTATCTTACTATATAATGACAATAACTCTGTCTGTCTGTCTGTGTGTCTGTTCCACGTTTTTCTCCTCACTGACTTGGTCAATCCATGTGAAATTTGGCACAGTGGTAGAGGATCATGGGAGGATGTGAATGAAGCAATATTACATCAATTGGCCAAAGGGGGGCGCTATAGCAACCCATTGAAATTGCAAACTTTGAATGGGCATATCTCATGCCCCGTATGTCGTAGAGACATGAAACTTTGCACAGAGATGCCTCTCCTCATGAGGAACAAATTTCCCTCAAGAACCCATAACTTCCGGTTATATAGATTTTCCACCATTTTGAATTTTTGGAAAAACACTTTCAAATCGATCTCTTCCTAGGAAGTTTGACCGATCTGCATGAAACTCTGTGAACATAATCTAGGGACCAATATCTAAAGTTCCCTCTTGGCAAAAGTTGGAAAACTTACTAAAACTGAGCTTCTATAAGGCAATGAATATTGCGGAGGGCGTGGCTCATCACATAAAGGTGTATAACATCTCAAGGGTTTCACCGATCACCACGCAACTTTGTAGGCATATGACCACACATAATCTGAGGGGACCCCTCCATTATTGACCCAATCAAACAAAATGGGGGGCGCTAGAGAGCTAATTTCTTATCTAGGCCTAACCGCCATATCGATTTTTACTAAACTTGGTAGATATGTAGAACAGGACGCCTCAAGGTGACTGTAGATATTTAACTCTAATTGGCAACTGGGTGGCGTTATAACAACAGAAAAATGCTTAAAAATGGCTAAAATGCGACCGATCGCTGCGGCTCCCCCTGTGGCCCAATGTCTGTTTTTTTCCCTAATTTTTGGTATGACTAAGTCATGGTATGGTATGCTGTACTCAATGGGTATGGACTAGTGAGTGTTATTAGAGTTTCACTTCCCACCATGACCAGGTTTTTTGTTTCATCCTCTTAAATTATAAGTAGACTGTAGATGGAAAGCAAGAGCTGCTCTTAGTATGATGAAAAGAAAAAGGATGAAAGTGGCATTAAAATAAAAGACTTTGACATACTGTAGTAGAGCAGTTCACAGTGAAATTAAGATGAGCTTTAAAAACCTCTGGACTTTTTCTTTAAGGACAAATGAGAAGACACAACAAGCCAAAGTCCCAGTAGGAGACAAAATTTGATGCTCTGCACCGTTAAAACAACACATGCAGAAACTTGAACCTGATCATGTGCTCTGTTCATCAGTGTATCTCTGCATCTGTTTCCACGCCAGTTATCTCAATAGCACTTGATCCATCCTCCACACAGCACTCCCTCTCACAGGCAAAACTCCACGGTGTCAGTTTACACTCCAGTCATGTGACACACACACACACCAACAAGCTAATCACACACCAGTCCTGGACGGCGCTGAAGGACTCCTCGTTAGTGATGTCATACATGAGGATGAAACCCATGGCTCCTCGGTAGTAGGCCGTGGTGATGGTGCGGTAGCGCTCCTGACCCGCCGTGTCCTGGACAAAAATCAAAAACAAACAACACCAGCAGTTAGTTTTAATTAAAATCTTAAAGAATCAATTTCACAATGACTTCTGACTGATTAGGGGGAGGATAAACTTTTAGTCTAATGGATCTTTTTTTCCTTATTTCTCACATGTCAGACATTTGGCACAAGACCTGCAAACACTCTGCAACAACAATATCATCACTTATTCTGTTAGTCAAAACCTCAAAGACAACAAAAAGACAAAATAGGCTGAGCAGAAACATAAGGGTTTTTAAAGTCTATTTTTCAGACTGTCAACACACACAGTATCAAATTAAAACATCAGAATCAAGCTCAATAATAGGAAACTGTCATGATCCTAGGTTTTTGTTCATATTCTGTTGTCCTGTGGACTTTGTTTATGAGTTTTCTGTTTGTGTTCCTTGTTTCATGTTATTCAATCATGTTTAATCTGCTTCCTGTTTTATTTTGTAGATTCTCTCCTCATGTGTCCTGTCAGGTTTTACTTCCTGTCTTTGTGTGTTTTCCAGCCTGTTTTCTACCACACCTGTCTTCCTTCAGTCTCGTTAGTCCTTCCCTGTTCCCAGAGTCTTCTCTTCACACCTGTTCTCTATTAGTTTTGTTTGCTCCACCCTTGTTGTTAGCCATTTCCCTCCTTTTGCCCATGTCTTCCTACTCCAGCTGTGTCTCGTTCTTGTGATTAGTTTTCTGTGGATAAATACCTGTGTTTCCCTTTGGTCTTTGTCCGTATGTCTGTGTTTCTCCTGCATTCATCCTGTTGGTCATCCTGCATTCATCCCTGCGTTACTCCTGTGCTCATCCCTATTCACCGTGTTTTTCCTGGTTGGTTTTCATTTTTCATTTTTTTTCAAACCTTGCTTTTTGGGTCCTCCCGTAAACCATAACGTAACAGAAATATTGAGAAATCAAAACAAAAAGCACTGTGGAAGCAGAAACAGCTGATCAGTCATGTGAGTTAAACGTTACGCTACGTTGACGGACACACGACTATTGGCTCATTGATAAGCCTCTGTTATTCTGACATGAGTAGTAGGCATACTGAAATTCACTGCCGGTCTGCCAGCTTTTTCACCCCATGTCATTTTTATACATGTCTAAGCTTAAATAAAAAGACCCAGATTTTTTTCAGGCTTCAGGTTATGATAATTAACTGGTATTATACAGCAGGATAATATTGTCATAGTGCAGCAATCTAATTAGAGATGGTCTAACCCAACTGGCAAATACCCAAGAGCCAGATAGTGTTTAACTCTTCGATTTATATGTCTAACATTACAATGAAACACTTTTAATAGCCACCACAACACACGAAACAGCCAGCAGCTCAGTGTTATTTCAGTGTAATAAGTTACTTCATCGATGCTATGAAAGAGAAACACCGCCCACACTGCTGACGACTGCAGAAGAGAAATTAGGAGAAACTTTTGTCCTGCACTCAAAGCTTTGGTGCATCAGCAAATTAATACAAGCCAACATTTTCAAATCTAGTGCTTTAACCTAATGAATCTGGCTCGCCAAATGATGAAGTAGAATCTGTATGGTGCAGAATTTCAGGCCAAATTCACAAGCTGTCGAATCCTTTTTAATGCTACCTGGTTTTGTATTTAAAGACACAATCCTTGATCGGTTTATGACACACCACTCTCTCATAGCTAGAGTCATGTTCACCAATCTTGTGTCCTGCAAGATTTACATACCCGATTTTAACAAAAAAACAACAAAACAAAACACAAAAAGTGTTTTATGAGATGTGTAGACACAGTGCAAAGATTCAGGAACTTATTTGAGAAATTATTCACAAATTTAAGGCCAAAAAACAACTTTGGGTTCTCTGTAATGATTTCAGAATACTTGAGCCTTAAGAAAGCCTGAACATTCAACATGTCACACTGACCCATAATTCACAGGTGCTCCAGTACAGCCAGCGTATTAAAGGGCCTCTGATGGTTTATAAAATCTTCATCACCTTTATTTTTGTTGCAGGTTTTATCAAACAGTGATCCGGCCTCTCTCTCCCTCGCTCTCTCTGTGCTTGGCCCCAAACCCAGGTGAGATTGGATGTCAGTGCTAAGCCCTAATGAATGCTCAGAGAACCAGAGCCCAGTGTTTCTGATACCCAGCCAAGCAGCTCCTGGTCCAACAGCATCTCTCTTCTGTCAGTGTGGAGATCAGCGGAGCAACAGACTGAGACTGACATGGAACCAGCTGCAATCACTGCCGCTACTGTGAGCGGACAGCTTTTTGGTATACCTCGTTACTTATGAGTATTCACAAACTGCTTACAACTACAACTAGTGTATCACAAACCATTTATCAACTGTTCATACACTGCTTAAAGGGACAGTTCACCCCAAACAAAAAAATCCAAGTTTTTCCTCTTTCCTGTAGTGCTATTTATCAGTCTAGATTGTTTTGATGTGTGTGAGCAGTTTTATGTAGGAACTATTTTCCTCCGACTAAATTATACTTCCCAACTGTGTCACTGCGCAGAAGGAAGCGTGCATCTACTCATGGACAACAGGTTGGTGCTTTTAACAGTGCAAGATGTAAACGTTAATGGTGTCCTCCTTGGCTGAGCTCTAACATTAGCTAGCTCAGTGGTGCTAAGTTAGCTAGCAGTAGATGCACACTTCCTTCTGTGCAGTTATTCATTTCTGATCCAGTCAGTGTACGGTGAACTCCCAAGCTCGTCCAACTTGCATTGCTGGGCGCTAGCAAAAACCCAAGCATGTCCACTGTGCCCAGCAAGAGGTTCCCCAGAGCACATTGTGAGCTGCTGGCCTAAAGCCCTGGGAGAGGGGAGGTACTCCTGGTGCCATGACCAGGTGCTGAAGGCAGTGGCGGACATCCAGCAGAGGTAACATCAGCTCCCAGCAAGCCACAACATTGCCTTTGTCAGAGCAGGGGAGAAACCTCGGGCAGAGCGTAAGGTCTCAACTGGGCTGCTAGCCTCAGCTCGTGACTGGCAGCTGAAAATGGACCTTGGGAGGCATCTTAAATTTCCGGAGCATATTGCAAGGATGTCACCAGGGCCAGATTTGGTCATCATCTGACTCCACAAAGCAAGTAGTGCTTCTGGAACTTACAGTCCCTTGGGAAGATGTGATGGAGGACCCCCATGAGCGAAAGAACGCTAAATACCTTGAGCTGTTAGAGCCCCAGAAAGAGTGGTTGGAGGGCCCGTTGTGAGCCAGTGGAAGTAGGAACTCAGGTTTCTTGGCATCAGAGGGTTGCAGGAGAGGAAAGCCATCAGAAACATCAGTGAGGCTGCAGAAAAAGCCTCAAGGTGGCTGTGGATCAAGAGGGCAGATCCATGGTGTAGCATGCTGCATGGACACAAGCCGAGGACTGAGCAACCCCAGCTGTGTCGCCCAGGTGAGTGTGTGGTGATTCAAGAGCAAAAACATCCTGACCCTGAGTTCAGCCGCACCATCTAGGTGTTTCAAATAACTACGTTTGGTGGGTGTAATTTGGCAGCAAGAACATTGTTCCTACATGAAACTGCTCACACCAAGGATTCTGGATTATCTTGAGTAGCTGGGTCATGATTTCTGGAAAGAGACTTTGCCGTTGATTTTTTTCAAATGTATCTTTTTGGTGCTTTGAGCCCCACAATCTGAATGCCATCTTGTTTCATTATAATGGAGAGAAGGCAGACATCTCTAGGGACGATATCTCCAACACTCAGCAGCTCACATCAAAACAATCTAGACTGATAAATAGCACTACAGGAAAGAGGAAAAATATGTGTTTTTGATTTTGTGGTGAACTGCCCCTTTAAGAATGCAAAAAAACCAACAGGCTGTACACAGATATACCTCTTGGCTTTTCTGTTCCTTTCTTGGGCTCATTAATGTCCATATTCACACAGTCACACTACAGAATATTATGTGACATGTATTGTAGCGAGCTGCAGCTCTGACATTTCCATACTGCTGGTTATAATGTACTGCTGCTTTATGTCCTGTTCATCCACTCAGTGTGCTGCAGGCCACTCAGGATGAGAGTATCAGCTCTATACCTAAAATGTGTAGTCGTGTAGGTAGCACTGAGTGGTGTTACATAATGAACACATTGGAGTACTCATCTTTCGTTCACCATGAACCCTGATGCAAAGTTAAAACTGTGAACATTTTACTGTAGATGGGCAAACAGCTTGTATGCAAAAATGAATGTGTTCTTTTTACAGCAGGGAGATATAATCCAGTTAACTAGTCTAATTAGGTGAGAGGCTGGACATAAACTTGCTGTGAATACTTGAGAAAATCAAGAAAGAAAAAAATCAAATTTTTAAAATTAAAGGGAAAATATACAGTTTTTAAATATTTGGGCTTTATTAATTATTGATAATATAGTCAGCCCAATATCTGAAAAAAGAGGGTGTGCAACCTTCAGTGTGATCTACAGAACACCAACGTTGTGGCATTTACTGTTCAACATAATACACACTGAATTAATGGAAATAATGCTACTGTTTCAAGTGAGATAATATGTATGACACACACTATAAGTGTGCATCTGCTAATCTATATAAATGGGATTAACTGCACACTGTGAAATAAATGTGTACATACTGTATGTTGACTTTTGAGCTCATGACCAACCATTTTCATTTTTACTCTCAGCTGAGAGATGGGGGGATTTTATGTGTGTGTGTGTGTGTGTGTTTAATATCTACTCGGGTGAGATGTGTTGTAGTGGGGGAGGGGAGAGCAGCACCCAGTCATCTATTTCTCGTGCTCTGATTGGCCGATCATGTCTGCCTTACCAGAGGCAAGACCTGGCAAAGGCTGACAACAGCGACAGCTCTACACACACACACACACACACACACACGAGGCTCTGCTCACCATCACTGCTCTGTTTGCAGCAGACCGCGTAGTAAAGGTGGAGATGATGCTTTGATTGGTTCCTCGGGGAGCTTGTCTTTACTCTGCTCTATGATTGTGTTTACTGCTGAGTCCTCAGGAGACAACACATTTCTAATGCAACAAACGCCGCCCTGTTTCCTCCTAAAGGCACAGCAGAGTTACTCACTGTGTTTTGGTCATTATTACTTCTATTGTATTCGACCCCATCTGAGGGTCAGCTGAATGAGCAGGCTGCAGAGAGGACAACACTGCGTGCAAATGTGTGTGTTTACTGTGATCTGAGGACAGTTTGTGTAATAAAACTGCACCAAAGGGCAGCGTTTCACAGAGCCTGCTGCTCTGTTGAACCTGTTATGAAATATCTTATGAAATGTTATTTGCTGTATCATTAAACATTGTAAAAAACAGGACTAACATTCAGGCGTTGCTTTAGAGATTCAAATGAGTATTTCGAGGACAGAGCATCATCTGAGTCTAGCTCACCTTCTAATCCTGATTTTGGAAACGTGTGAACACCAAATGCAAAAGTGTTTGTAGCTGCTCTGAACTGGGTGAAACGCTTTGGTGAATAATGGCTTGCAATAATGTTTTACTCGTTTTCATTAAAAGTGACAGAAATAGTTGTGTGGTGTGAAGGAGAGGGGCTTTCAAACGTTCAGCTATACAACATGCATTTTGTTTGATGCATACCAATGCCCAGGGAATTAAGAGGCCACTTTGTGTCTGTACAGGTGCTGCCTTTGCAGCCATAACAGTGCAGAAAACCTCTAACAACTTCAGCAAATCTATCCTGGAACTGTGCAGAAATGAACAGAGGACAGAAAAAACAAATAGACCTGAAACATGGTGGAAGCACAGTAAACAAGGTTGGAAACATGTAGCTCAAAGATCATATATGAAAATGCTGCTCACATGTTAGTCTCACCACCAGACAATCAGAGATCTCCGCCTTCTGATAGTCTGGGGACACTCCTTTCTAAAGTGTGTTTAACACACCGGAGAAAATGGCCGGCAACAAAGCAACGGCTCTTACATTTTTTTAAAAGGACACGCCCTCCTGGAAATGTGCGCTCCCCCTTTTCTCGTCCACAAGGAAACAAAAACACAGACAGCTTGAAAATGGATGCCGATAGATTTAACTCCATTTTATCAAACGTGTGCTCAGTCCACAAAATTGTGGAAATGAAGGACTTACAGTGATTTTGTTTAAAACTTTTAACGCAGTAGGACTATCTTTACGAGCCACCGAAGGACCGCCCTGCAGATTTACTATTGGTTCTGCAACGTAGGGAGTTTTTTTAAACTCTGAAATTGTATCCGCCCATCTAAACACAAAATCAGGGAGAAAGACATCAGTCTTTAGTTAAGCAAAGCGTCTAAAGACTGACTTGTGAGTCTACTCATATGTTATATGTCATACTAGAGGCAGACCCGGTTGTGTCATCTGTGTTAAAAGGTTGAGTGAAGAAAATCAATGGGACTCACTGAACGTCAGCCTGAAATTCACCGCATACATACATGTAAATTATCTGTTTCATGAACTCCCCCTCTAGGAAACTTAACATTTCTTACCCAGATCTGTAATTTGATCCTCTTGTCGTTCCTGTAGATGGTCTTCACCTTGAAGTCGATGCCCACCGTACTGACAAAGGCCGGTGTGAAGGAGTCATCGGCGTAGCGGAACAAGAAGGAGGTTTTGCCCACACTGCTGTTGCCAATGATGAGGATCTTGAACATATAGTCAAAGTTTTGGTCCGAAGACTCCTTCTGCCCATAGGTTGCTGTTGCTGAGGCCATCTGTGGACAGGGACAAAAGAGAAACACAAAACTTTAATCAAATGGCCGCTGTGACTTCAGTCATGGCTGCTGCAAGTGGTGCAACTGCACAGAGCCTCACAATGCAGTCTGATGCCCTAACCCAATAAACTTTAAAGCTAATTTTGTGTCTGTCTAGTGACAATACAGGTCACATGAAAAAAAAACAAAACATCTATGGAATTTTGGAAATCCCAGTTGGAAATTTCAACTGGAATGCCTTGAAGTCAGAGGAACTTCACCAACCCCAGGCTCTAAATTTCAAGATGGCTGCTTTGCACATCGACACTACTGAAACCTGTAGCACTTCTGTCTGATTTGTGTCTCATTAAAACGGTCATACAGACAGTCCTGTCCTGTGTCCTCCTGTGGACATGTTGCTTTTTGGACTTCATGTGCAAAATACAGCATAATGCATTGTGATCAATTAGATTGCTAACAACAGCTAACCTGGCTTGAACTAGTATTGCTAACAATATCTTATTTTTCTGACTTGAGCTGAAAAGCAGACAACTCGGGTGTGGCATCATTCCCAGCTTTGACCTCTGAGGTACATGGAGCACAGCATTATTTCTTCCTGGGTGGAGGTCCAGGGTATACCATACTATTTTAACAATAAAAGGATATTGCATCTGAGATATTACACAGATTTTACCACTGAGTTTGCTGCAGAGAGAGCAAAAAAAAGTGATTTTCTTGTAATTAGTCACATTTAGCTTATGATGAGTCCATCTACAGGATTTCTTTTAGCGTTTCTGTATTAAAATGCAGCAATGTGACTATCAAAAAAAAAGTTCTACGTTCTTTCTCAGGCTTTACCTGTGCCCAGTCACCCAGCTCCCATTCAGTAATTTTCCATTTACCCTGCAGCACCTCAGCATTAGTCATGCCCACATCACCAAGGCTCCTCAGTTCACCTGTTCCTCATCACTCACAGCCAGTATAGATACTCCAGCCTCACAAACACTCGTTGCCAGATTGTTCTTCACCATTCATGCAAGACTCTCCAGCACTTTGTTCCAGATTGATTTCCTGTTGCCAACCCTGCCTGCCTCTGACCTGCCTGCCTCGTCTGATTTCCGGTGAATGCATCAGCATTCTGTCCCTGACCATCAGCCCTGCGTTTGCGTCCTTGATTCGTGTTTGCTTGTGGCTGCTACTACTACAGTGTGACTGTTTCCTGTGGTCCAGAGATTTTTACCATGTGGCCAGACTTGCCATTGTGTTCACGTCCTGTGGGTACTGACCTACTACCCTCTGCCTGTACCCTACTGACTTGTCTGGTTGGACTGTGTGTTTACATGGTTCCGGATCTTTGGCCTTCATGACTTTGTCTCCTGCCTTATGGGCTAATGTCACCGCCCACTCACCTGCTTCCCGGCCCGATTTGACCTGCCAGACCAGCCAGGCCATCAGAGACTTTGTGAAGAGAGAACTGCCCTGTGTGCTGTTTACCTGTCCTGTGCCTGCTGAGTGGTGCTATTAAACGTCATTAACAACTGTTCCTGGCTTCCTGTGTGCTGCAAATGGGTCCTAATACAACCTGTTACATGAAAATTGTGTTGTACAATTTAACTTGACTAATTTAATTCAAATAACCAGACTACCTCACTCTCCTCCCACTTTAATAATGGTGGCAGCACTTTAAAATAGACCTTTTCTGAAAGAAAAAAAAAATCTCTTTGATCCACTCCTGAAACTTTCTTTCAAGTAAGGTGATAAAAGTTTTAGGGTAAGATCTGATGGCACCATGAGGTTTTATGATGAAATCTATGCTGTAAGTTTCTGGCTCATCCTTCTCCCCCTTTAAAGGGATAGTGCACCCAAAAATGAAAATTCAGCCATTATCTACTCACTCATATGCCAATGGAGGCCCTGGTGAAGTTTTAGAGTCCTCACATACCTTGTGGAGATCGGCGGGGGGAGTGGCTAGCACACCTAATGGCTGACAGCGCCCCAGACTAACGTCCAAGAACACAAAAATGAAACCACAAAATAACTCCAACATGCTCATCCGTAGTGATCCAAGTGTCCTGAATCCCCGACATAAAAAGTTGTTTCGAAAAACTCAACTCCGGTTGAGCACTGGAAACCTGGTGGTGTAGTTGTTTCAAATGCAAAGCAATGCCAACAGATGAGGAAAGTCTTTGCTGCTCAGACTGGGAATTGGCGATGCCTGCACTTGAGAATCTGGACATCAGTACTGACGAGACTGCTGCTCTTCAGAGACCGTGCATCACCGATCACCCTGAGAGCGCACACGTGAGCGCGGAGCACAGAGAAGCAGTCAGAGCTACAGGCTACAGTGAGGCTAAAAACAGAGTTCAAATGACATTTTTCGAAACAACTTTTTATGTCAGGGCTTCAGGACACTTGGATCACTACGGATGAGCATGTTGGAGATATTTTGTGGTTTCAATTTTGTGTTCTTGGACGTTAGTCTGGGGCTCTGTCAGCCATTAGGTGTGCTAGCCACTCCCCCCGCCGATCTCCGCAAGGGATGTGCAGACTCTAAAACTTCACCAGGGCCTCCATCGGCATGAGGGTGAGTAGATAATGGCTAAATTTTCATTTTTGGGTGCACTATCCCTTTAAGGGCAGTGGCCTTGTGGGTAACCTGTGAGGGTGTGAAGTGTGTTTCACTCTGCGTATGGAGGGAAGCAGCTCTCTCAGGGTGTCATGGTGAAGACGCATGCAGCAAATAGTGATCATTGTCAACAGAATTAGGCGTCTGGATAAGGTCAGGGCTACTGTTAGGCCTCATGAGAAGTAACGTCATTGCTGTGAATGGCACCTGAACACCCATCCCTCCTTCTGCAGAGTGGTCCGGACCACTACAAGCTGGTTACCAGCTAAGAACAAGCCAAGCTAAAATTAATGTTAATAAGCCAGCGTGTTCCCAACTATGGTTGGAGCCAGTAAGCTGTCACTGAGAGAGGTAACGTATACATCTGAGGTATTGTAGAGAAATTTGGAGAAAAAATCTACTACACAGTCTGGATATTTACAGGAAAAACACAACAATCTTTTTAACACAAATCAGGAGCAATGGAGCAACAGAGAAGAGCATCCAATCCACCCCCCAAAAGGGATATAACTATACAGAAGATTTATATATAACTTAAGAACATAAAGAAATCTGTAACTACAAAGGTGAGAATGCTAAGACAAGTTAGCTGATCTGATACAGCTTAAGGTAAAACTACTTGAGAAAATGAGGTGTAGAGGTGCAAGGATTAGTTTGCTTGATTGAGTCATCATTTGAATCATTTTGTCTAAGAAAAAAAAAGATGGTTTAAGCAGATTTGCTGCTTTGCTGTGCCATTAATGAGAGTAAACTGAACTGTTGGTCAAATAAAACAAGCTTTTTGACTACATCTCCTTGGGCTGTGGGAAATATACTGTTTTTCAGAAAATTTTATAAACAAAAATGTCAGTCCATTAATTGAGAAAATAAAGAGCTAAATGATCAAGGACTCTTGCTGATTTAGATGCAGATACTGCATAGTTTAAATTCTGGACATATGTGCCAGAGTGCCACAATCCTTCATCCAGGCACATCTGTTCCTCCTGATGTAGGCGTTGGACAGAACTCTGGGGGGTTTCTGCCTTATCTGAATTAACAGCCGCCTCCTTTACAGTCATGAGCAAAAAACACACTTAAATAAAATGAAACCCAAACCCTTTAAAAACATTGGAGGGTATTTTTCATATAAAGGTCATACATTTAATGATTGTTTAGACAAAAGATGAGGTTCTGTCAGCATCTGTAAGACTCAGCCTAACAGATGATGGTGATTACCTCGTCAGGCTTAAACACTGCACATTTGCTTTATGGTAATTAATCAAAGCGGCACATTGTTATGTCAGGGGAAAACAGAAAACCCATCAGTTTTTTCTCAATTTGGCAAAACATCGTGGAGGCAAATGGCTCAATCAGTCACAATCAGCTGGGGACGTGCGAGGAATAATTCACTGCACAACCAGCTGCACGTTGAAGTCAGTTTGGACTTTGGTATTCAGCCGCTAAACCTGTATTTTAACATCAACAGCTTGTTTTGATGTACCATAAATTAGCATTTTAAGAGGATTATTTAGGGTCAGGTGTTACAAACATTGTTGATGGTCCCTTAATGACAGGAGTCTCATGCTTAAAGCTAAAGTTACAGCCTAGGAAAGAAGCAGCCTGACATCTACACCAATGATCACAGCCCTAACAAAGGATTATATGTCAGTGACAACTTTAAATTCAATGGCGTACACACTCACAATCTACAATGGCAGGTATTTACTTCAGGTTAGCTCTATCTGCTGATCATGCATTTCCTTCATCAGCTACATGAATTTCCAGGGATCTACTTTCTTTGTTTGCTATCGATCGGACTCGAAGAGCCTCATGCTGCTTGCCCACATTGCTTTTGTGCTTGTGAAGGTTCAGAAATCTCTATAACTGTGGTGAGTAAAATGTTATCATGACAAACGTATTAACACCCAGGCTGACGGATACCAAATTTCCCTTTAACAGCCTGAATGTGACGCAGATCATTAATAAACCCTGAACTGGCTTGAGGCTGCATGCAGGTGGACATATACAGGCCACATTTAGAGACATGTGAGTGGTTATTTCTTTTACACATGTATGTACAATTTGTATAAAGTTAAAAATTGTCTTCCTCTGTTTTGAAACTGCCCCCTGACACAAATTTAAGCAACCAACCGACCTGCTTAATGTGCAGGTCCGCATGATGCGTTGTTGTGATTTGAGGGGTGTGTGTGTTGGCTTCTCTACAAACCTGAATGGCCCCTTACACACACACACCATAAACCTGAAACTACCTGTACAGTACATTACCCGGAGGAGCTGTATGTGAGAATGCAATTTCCGAATCTCAGACATTAAACTGACTTTACCCTGATGGCTATCTAGAACAA